GTTACACAACATTATATCACTGTATGACAGAAAATAAGAAAAAACATGATAGGTCCACTTTAAGCTACACTGCTGCTGGCTCCAGCTACATATTTACTGTACTTGAGTGGTATCAATCCTCTCATCTAACTCTGTGCCAGAGAGCCAGTAAGTGTTTTTCCCAAAATGTCCAACTATTGCTCAAAGCCAAAAAGCAACACGGTTGTACCCAGATGTTTATCTGTGGCTCAGCGAGGCTGTAATTTGAATTGCCAGCTTGTCACACCCTCAACAGCCAGCCAGCTTGGCAGAGCAGACCTGAGTCCAGTTTAACACTGTGTTCATAGTCGCTGTGATAAAGAGATTATTTAAATATCATCTCCCCATGTTTTATTTATTAACAACATAAAGCATTTGTATACAATCCCAGTTTAGTATGGAGTATAAATGTAAGGTCTTTCTTTTGTGCTGCCATTTTCATGACTGCTCACGCATTCACTGTGAGCCAGTTCATGGCAGAGTGCCCGAAAACAAGGAGGTGCACCTGTGCTTTGATAACATATTTAATTTTACAATTGTGCTCTGCAACCAGGCAAAACCCATTACGAAATGAGAAAATTGGTGACCTTGTGCCAGCCATTTGGGCCTCCTATGAAAAATGAAGCAAAGGACCGGCTTTCATCGTGACTGGAGCGAGTGTTGGTGTTTTGAGAGATTCTATTAGATGCATGAGGGAGGAGGGCTCAAGCATCATTGTGAATCAATGCCTTCAGCTGTTTCCATTTACTTAAATCCATGTAGCCTTTAGTAAGCCAGATGTCTATATGAACTTTCGTCACATGCGTCTTTTCCTTTTCACCAAGCAGCATGGGACATTTCATCACACTGGGGAATCTTGTATCTTATTCATTCTTCTACACGACCTCACGCTGTCTGTCTCACTGACACTCTTTTTAATTGTCTCTACTCGCTCTCTACCTTGTCAGTCAGTGTATGTATGTGTGTGAGAGTGTGTGCATGTGTGGTTTGAGTCAGTGCCAGGGCTAAGTGATTAATTAGTAACAACACAACTTGCTTTGCTTGACAGTTAGACTGTGCAGGTTTAAGGCCTTTGAGTGCACCTCGTGGCTCAACAATGGGCCGCTGAGATGGAACAGGGAGAAAATGGAGGAGGAAATCAATATTGTCGGGTTGTGGCCACATGACTTCCCCTTCTGTTTGCTGTGGAGCAACAAAAGGCCATCTGTATGAGCATCTATAAGAGGACTGAAAGGAGACAGAGCATTGACAGAGCTTGTATTTATAGGACTGTGTTAAGATTGCCCATCTTTTATTGTCTGTCTATATTCTTGTGCTTTCTGCCTGAATGATTTTGTCTAGCTCCCTCTGTGCTCCACACACCTCCTTTGTTTCTATGGCAGCAATTTCTCTAACTTTTCTTCTCACTCTCTTCATTGTTTATGCATCCTCATCCCTCTCTCCTTATTTCACTTTTCTTCGTCTCGTTCTGTCCTCCATGTATCTCAGCTTTTTTGTACTTCTCAAATTATCAAGTGGCAGTATTAGGGGCTTTTAACAGAACGTATTCACTGAGCAAGGATACCTTCGCCTTCAGTAACAGGAATTTGCAATTATCCATCAGGCTCAGCACAGCAAGAGAACAATGCTGAAGAGAGTGTCCTCTGAGTTCCCACACATATTTTAACATTCGGCTGTGCTTTAAAGTAAGTTCTGCTACACTTCCCTGTTGCTCCATACAACTCTGTCAAGCTGCCGGCACCGCCCTCCATACCCATCTGTACATATCCTGCCATCTGGTTTTTGTGTCTTTCAGAGGAGGTGCAGCTTTAGGTGCGGATGTAGAGGAAGGCTGATCCATTCATTAATCAGATATAGCCATGGCTGCGAGGGCTACTTTTAAAATGTGCTGATTGCCTGCTAATCACAATCACAGCATAGCCTACTGATTTTTTGTGTAAATCACCAACATACGTTTTTTGATGATTTACTGTGGATCAGAGGCACTGGATAACTTCGGGCTGTACATGCTGAGATGATGTTGGAGAATAGACTCATGTTCAACACACTTTTTGAAATTTAATTACTGCTTATTAAATTAGTGGAATACATTAGAAACTTTTGCAACCAGAATACTTTAATTAAGACATCTGTTACCTCCTATACCAGAGGCAGGTGGCGAAAAGATTTAAGCCTTTTAAAGGCACATTAGGCAACTTCACAAACTAATGAATGGTGATATTAACAGAAACACATGGAAACAAGGAAAGATTGTGGAGTAGCTCAGGTAGAGGTGTCATGATGTACTAATATTGACCATAACCGTGATATTAAAATATGAAATATCGATATCATGTTAATAGGCTAATACACATATAATATTGTGTAAACAATCTGGCGCCTTTTAAAATCATTTCTGTTTCTTTCATCCTCGCTTTGTCTTCTTCCTCCAAAGCCATCTTGCCTTTTCACTACCCATTAAGTGTAACTGCTCTTTTTGTACACTGCACATTTATGGTCGCAGACTATCTCTCCACCTCCCTACACTCATGTTTTATGTTCATTTGCCAGTCAGCTGTAACACAGGTTGCATTTGAGAGTGCATTAAATATAGTTAGCGAGTAAGAAAATAACTCTAAATACTTAAAATTAATAATGGTTAAAATACATAAAAGTAAGGACTGAACAATTTAAAGAGTTGTAATGGCTAAACAGCTCAAATAGTTACCTCAGAGTAACGCATAAACTGTTGAAATAGCTAAAAGTAACAAATAAACAGTTGAAATAGTTAGCTAAAAGTAACAGTTAAACAGTTGAAATAGTTAGCTAAAAGTAACGGATTTAACAGTTGAAATAGATAACTAAAAAATAGCTAAAAGTAATGGATAAACACTTGAAATAGCTCAAAATAATGGCTAAACAGTTAAAAATAGCTAAAGGATAAATAGTTGAAACAGCTGGCAGAAGGTAACAGATAAACTGTTGAAATAGCTAGCTAAAAGTAATAAACACTTGAAATAGCCAAAAATAATAGATAATCATGTGAAATAGTTAGCTAAAAGTAACGGATAAACACTTGAAATAGCCAAAAATAACAGATAAACATGTGAAATATTTAGCTAAAAGTAATGGATAAACAGTTCAAATAGTTAGCTAAAAGTCATGGATAAACAGTTCACATGGATAGCTATAAAATAGTTAGCTAAAAGTAACGGATAAACACATGAAATAGTTAGCAAAAAGTAACGGATAAATAGTTCAAATAGTTAGCTAAAGGTAACAGATAAACTGTTGAAATTGTTAGCTAAAACTAACAGATAAAAAGTTGAAATAGTTAGCCAAAAGGAACAGTTAAACACGTGAAATTGTTAGCTAAAAGTAACGGATAAACAGTTGAAATGGATAGCTAAAAAATAGTAAGCTAAAAGTAATGAATAAACACTTGAAATAGCTCAAAATAATGGACAGATGGTTGAAAATAGCTCAAAGTAACGGATTAACAGTTGAAATACTTAGCTAAAAGTAACAGATATATAGTTGAAATTGCTCAAAATAATGAATAAATAGTTAAAAATAGCGAAAATTAACAAACAATTGAAATAGTTTGCTAAAATTAATGTATAAGATGTTAGCTAAAATAATGGCTAAAATATTAAATAGTTCAAATCGTATATTTCATATAGGCTATTAAACACTTGTATGCAACTGATTACTTACAGGAATTATGTAATTACTACATTTCAATGCTATAACAGCAGTTTATAGTTTAGATGTGTTGTGAAATATGTTTTAGATTATGAGAGCAAAGCCAAGCACATAATCTGTAAACTATGCAGACAGATCCATAAGTAACTAAATTAGATATGCAGACATTCATCCTGAAATCAGAGCATAGGGTGGATTGCAAAGCATTCAACATTTGGAGCAATGAGAGCATAAGATCGCCAAATGCCATGTCAAAGAACAATGATTCTGTTGAAATGGGTGAAATGGCTTCATGTGACAGATTTTCCTTTCCTGCTACTGCAGCAGCATTAACTTCAGGTCAGCACTATAAAGACGGTCATACAGTCTCATATAACTACTCAGAAAAATGCTGTCAAGAGGATATGCTGAAAACTGTGGATTAAATGATTCTGTCTGATTGGCATTTTGAGAATTGTTTCTCTACTAGAAAACATTACACAAATATTATCTCAAAAATGTGTGGAGAAAATCCATTCAGAAAAATGCAATAAATTTAATTTTATGATTAAATTTATGTAGCTCTGTTTTCAATGTCAAACTTTCTCTATGGTGGGAAATCCTGGGCATCCTGGGAGAAGACACATTCCCTCACTCAATTACTTCAAACTTTTAAACTCGCTGGAAAGTCTTTAACCCCAGTCTGGAGCAAGTGCTCACTGAAGGACACATTGTTGAGACAGACAATTCTCAAAGTGTCAGGATGTCTAAAGAACCTCGGATAACACTCTCTTTTTTTTTTTTTGCTGTTAGTCTTCCTTATGTAGGCTGGTGAGTCAAAGGTACAAAAAAAATGTCAGCTCAGCAATACACTGAAATCTGTATTTTGGGAGTGAGTGTTTAAGCTCAAGCACTAACATAAATGCACTGGCAGGCATCGTCGAATTACTGGCAAATCTCATGTAACAGACAGCAGATGCAGCCTATCAGTGTACACATATACACTCTGGATTTTGTCCAAGTGTGTATTAGGCAGCATGACATATAATAGGCAGCAGCTGTAGAATGATGGTAAGAGGCCCTCAGCTGATGGTGGTGACATGAATGGCTGTTAATGTGTCCTGAGGACTGTGGAACAGGGACATCATTTCTAAAGCGGCACATCCTACAGTATAAAAAAAAGGTGGTGGTGGTGGTGGTGGTGTGGGGGGGGGGTTATTATGTAAGTGGATGCTTGTAAGTGGCGCTTTAAACCATCAACGCTCCCACATATCTGTCTTAAACCTGAACCTTGTCCTGTCATGTGTCCTTACCCACAGAGGGAGGTCAGATCAACAACAACGTGGCACCGGGCTCAAACATGGGCCAGCAGCACCCTTACCCTGCCCTCAGCCAGCTGGCACATGTCTACGAACAGCAGCAGCAACAACAGCAGCACCAGCAACAGCAGCAGCAGCAGAACAAGGATCTCAACAAGTACGCCTCCCTGAAGGCTGTGGGTGAGTGTCTGTCAAGTTCTCTTATTATCCTCCACTTTTAAGACAAACTGAAGAACAGTTACAGTGTGAGATAAGCAGCGTAGGCTACTCAATACTGCGCTGTTGGTTTTTTATAAAACGGGTGGGTTTTTCTTGTCATTGCTGCTGGATCCAGCTATGTTTGGAGAGGGTGCATCATCGTCAAAATGAATCTTGGGGCTTCCCTTATTTGTGTCAGCGGAGTCACCATCTGATGCATCTGCATGAGCTGGCAGTGAATCTGGAGGCTTTTATTAATTACTTGCTTTTTTCTTTTTTTCCCATCACTGAACGCTTTTTGATCCAAACACAAAGGATGATTTTTCCAGAGGTGAATGAACTGCAGCAGTCCTGCAGGCAGATCTGACAGGTGTTATTGATCACACTACCAAAACGTAAGTCTTGTAAAAAAAAAAGAAAGAAAAAAAGAAAAAAGAAACAGCCTGCTTATCAAGCTGTTTGACAGCTTAATGCACGCCACCAAATTCAATGAGCTCAGTTTGCCGGCGCAGCTGATTTGAATTCGCCTCACCATGCCCATCTCCTATTGGCAGCGGCATCACTATTTCATAACCTGAATTCATTGAGATTCACCTGTGAATTTTTCAGTGCGTGTCAGCTTGTTTATGCTAGACAGGTACCCTGCCCTCTCTTGAATTCAGCCCACTCACGCCAGATATCATCCACAAACACATCCAGATATCTGTATAAACAGCTGCAAGATGCCATTTGTCTGCATTTATTAGAGAATAATCAGGGCTTGTCTTCACAAAGCCTTTCTCTGCATGCCAAGCAGCGGAAAGTAAAAACATTTGATTCAGATGACAAATGTACTGTAGGTGTGAACTTTCTCTGTATAGTAAATCTAAATGTTACTCCCTGCACCACGCGGCATGTAGAGGGCCGTGACTCATCCCCAGACATGTTACAGTAATAGATTATCATGCTTGTTTATGATGAGCACTGCTTTGTGCCCTGGAAGCAAGACGACGTTGTGTAATTATAGTAGCGATATAACTGCCAGCAAAATTTTAAACAGATGAATAATAAGTGATAAGTGGACACATCATGTTGAGCTTAACGGAAAGCCACCCAGCAAGAACATCAATGAAAAACGGTGATTAACACTGTCATCCTGAGTTTTGGACCCTGGCATCTGTTGTCATATTATTTGATGGTGTACTGTATTTTTGTCATTCCCAGATAACAGGCCAAATATAGACAGTAGACAGTGGTTATTTTCAGCTACAGCTACGTTTGATTGTAGAAAATTGTTCAGTTATCTGAAATGCCAAAGGAGGACGTCTTGGTGTCCGTCCCTGAGGATCAGAGAACAAAGGGATTCTTTGTCGACTCAGTATTTTTGCACCAATATTCAACCAGGAGAGAAGTAATCCATCATAGGAGAGGCAGAGATGCCAATTTCTCCTCTGACAGGAGCTTCAATAGAGCAGAGTGCAGTGCAGCCACAAGACATGCCGCAATTTGAGGAAGAGACGCAACCCCACTGTTTCCCAACTGGAAAACCTTACTCTCTGATGTTAGGCTACAGCTTTCCTTTCATCTCAACCGCACATAAAACCAACAGATGGATGCAGCACAGCTCTGGGGATTGAGGATGGCATTTTGGGAAATGTAGAAAATCTTTAACTTGAGGGAAAATAGATGAGGCTGGTTGACGGAAAATAGGTTCAAGGAAAGGTTTAATTATAGCAAAATAACTGGAATTTGTGAAGTATTACAAACTGAGAATGCACTTACTATACAGAAACAGTTTTCAAAGATGTGTTTTTCCTTTGAAGCACTAGATGTTGCTGCTCAAAAGCATTCTTTCTAACCATAAATTGTCTTTGAATCAAATCTGAAGAGACGTGCATGTTGCATAAGGTCAGATTTCATCCATTAAACTGTTTAAGATCCCTCCCAGACATTTTTAAGTCATATACCAAAATACTTAATTACTTTGCTGAAAATATTTAAAAATTACACTTCATCTTTCTCCCTTATTAAAAATCAGTATGCAAATGAATAGGCTATGTCAATATTTCCTTTGGATGGTTTAATGATGCCACAAAGACGTCTCCTCCTTCACTGAAAAGGCAATTCTCAGTATATTTGTGCTGAAGGCTTCAAGTTTCCACATCACACTTATGTAAGTTATATTGAATCAGGATTGGCTTCCAGACTAGTTGTGATGTCACGAAATCCTGCCTGTATATACACGTCACAACAGATGAGTATGAAACTGAAGAGTTAAACTTAAGTAGAAATCAGGATTCTTTTCTTCTAGGATCCTCGACTGACTTAAGTCCAAAAATCTTTTTCTTTTTCTTTTTTTTTTTTAATTTTCAGGTTGTTAGTTAAGTTATGTTGACAGAATAAAATGGTGGAACTCAATCCCAATCACAAACAATCACACAAAAAGCCAATTTGGGTACATTAGGGAGTAGGGTTGCGTCGGTATGAGAAAAAAAAAGGAGTCCCCGCCCCACCCCCCTCTCTCTCCTGCTTGCTGTGCGCTTGATGAAGAGGCAGACACAGGTGCTCACAGACTCGGGCTTACTATAAGCGGAGCGGACTACGTGTAAAAATGTCCGTGAAAAATCCCACGATGTGAAAAATACATGCCGAACAGTCTTTTGTGTGACACTGGTGCGCGGAGCAAAGTCCGCGCGGTCATGCTTTGCGCGCACAGGGCTTGCGGACATCCACTTTTACCGGGCGGACCTCCGCGTGCGCTCCACGTACGTTCTGCCCAAGTATGCGGTCTGGTCGGTCTCAAAAAATAAAACCCGGTCCAAGACGGAGTACCGGACCGAATTGGTATTACCGAGAACCGACCCAACCCTATTAGGGAGCTTAATACTTAACTTTCCAACATAAAGGCGAAGTATTTTGTGAATACTTCATACCACACCACCCATTACGTTACAAGTCCAACACCAGAAAACTAACTTATAAATCAACACGCTGCAACTCTGTACAAAATTGGACCTATTTTGAATGTTATCACTAGATTAAAAGGGCATTATCAGACTCGTAGGAGGGTTACAAGGGTCCTGCTGCACCAACTACTTAAGTATGTTTATGGTTGTTATCAGCCGTTAGCAGTTGTCATCGGGAGCAGATTCGTAATTTTTCAATTTTCAGGCGCCAATACTACTTAGTTAGTTTGAGAAAAAAAGATGATGGCTTGGGGCGGCACGGTGGTGCAGTGGTTAGCATTGTCACCTCACAGCAAGAGGGTTTCTGGTTTGAACTTAGAGTGGGAGGTTCAAACCCTTAAGGCCCGAACATACTCAGGCGTACTATAAGCGGAGCGGACTCCACGAGGAATGTCTGCAATCATTTGGGCTTCCATAGTCGAGCGCACTTCCGCGTTGTAGTTTCCTGTAAAAATGTCACACACTACATTACCCACAATTCTTGCGCGTCGATGTGAAAAATACATGCCGAGCAGTCACTGGTGCGCGGAGCGGAGTCCGCGCGGTCGTAAAATCTGAGCTTTGCACACACAGAGCTTGCGGACGTCTGCTTTTGGTCCGGGCGGAGCTCCACGGAGTCCGCTCCGTGTATGAATATGTTCGGGCCTTTAGCTGGGGGAGCCTTTCTGTGCAGAGTTTACATGTTCTCCCCGTGCCAGCGTGGGTTTTCTTTGGATACTCCGGCTTCCTCCCACAGTCCAAATACATGCAGGTTGAGGATAGGTTAACTGGTGACTCTAAATTGCCCATAGGTGTGAATGTGAGTGTGAATGGTTGTCTGTCTCTATGTGTCAGCTCTGTGATAGTCTGGTGACCTGTCCAGGGTGTACCCCACCTCTCGCCCGATGTCAGCTGGGATAGACTCCAGCCCCCCCATGACCCCTAACAGGATAAGTGGTTACGGAAAATGAATGAATGAAGGAATGATGGTTTGGTTTAACGTAAGTGTATTATAAGTACATAATAAGCAGTAAAGTAAATAATGTGATTTGACGAACTTGCGTACGTCAGTTAAAACAAGTCAGTGTTGACTTTTGGTTTCACATGCAACACGAACCCCAGTCTCCTGGGTGAAAGTCCTGTGTTTGTTTGAACCATTCACCACCATGATCTACTCTGTAGACTTTTTCACTCTTTACACTGACATTATGTTACCTGACTTCCTCCTTGGCTTCTGTCATAATTACAAAGATGACAACTGATAATGGCCAAGTGAACCTACTAGTAGGTGTAGCAGCCAGGCCTTTTCTAAAAAATATCTATGAGACTGATAACTACAGACAGCGCTCATTCAATGGAGTGATAACATCCTAAGTGTGTGAAAACCATCTGACAGCGCTCATCAACCAAAGAAAAGAATCCGCCTCCAGTCTGTTTCAATGCAAAGACCTGGTTTTACTGTTGCAGCAGGAACAGCCTTCTTCAGCGCACCGCACTTCTTCGCCTCTGAACACATAAACCCACTTGTGTTTTAGGAAAGACATTTATCCAGTGATGGTCGGTAAATTACACTTTGATTTCATTATTTTCAAACAGGCAGAAGACTGTGATATTCTCCCAAATTAATGCTGTTAGCTTTTTTGAATAAAGAAGCTGCATACTCCCACACACTTTCCTCTGCTTTTCTGTGCTTGACAGTGACCTTCATCAAGTCCATTTAACTTAATAACTGCCAGTTATGTCTCCTATTGCATTTTAGCAGACTAAAAAACACAAGTGAATGGCTCGACACACAGTGCACTTAAGTAAGAGCCTGAAACTAATACCCATTTTTCTATTTCTTGAATCAAGAAATGATTCCTAATCAAAGACACCAAGAATCGAAGCATGATATTTCCAAAAATTTCCAGGAACAATTTTTGAGTGGAGGGGGATTTTTAATGTTCGCTGTGATTGATTACTATTCTGAGGCAGTGTTAACTCTCTGCAAGTTGATTTTTATAACGCACTGACATGTTCTGAGAGCAGTGACTGGCTGGAGGGCATGAAATCAATCTA